AGAAGAATAAAGAGCTTTTTGAACATTAAAGAGTGGAGACATGTCCCAGAGGAACATTAATGAGCATGACAGGGTCCCTTTAAATAATGTGTGGCTGTGCTTTCTGAAGAAACAGCTTGGTTTTACTTCCGTTGATTATATTGTCCCTCGATTACTACTAATGCATTGTGCTCATTTTTAGTGTGTGTGTGTTGTGTGACTTGTTTGTGTGTAATATCCTGTTGTGTTAAATGTTAAAAGAATCTAACCAGCTTTCATAAAGGAGGAAACACACCGACAGTGAAACCAGACACCACATTCTTTCATTATACATTCAGTGTTTTGTTCTTATTGTAACCTCGTTATTACTTCCAACACAATGTCCAATCTAAATGAGCTAATGACAGACCTAGTCAGGATTGATGGTTGTCATAGTAACACAACACTCGTTATGTCTTGGGAGTTTTCAGGAGCTTAGTAGAGCAAACTAGATGTTATAAAATTGTAAGCAGAGAAATTCTAAATATTATATTAGAGTTTTGTTGACTGTTGCCATGACATTAATATGAAACAAGTTAGTAAGCAGTGCTGTAAGCCTGTTATCATGTATCCACCTCCCTATGAACATTAAGTCCTGTGCACACCCTCCACCTATGAAGGCAGGCAGATGAATGAACACCTTGTTAAAGCAGACTTAGTGAAATGCCCTCATTACCTCAGTGAGACCCTGTGACCTCATTACTCCCCTCATTCTCTCCAACCTGAACCAACCGGCTCCCATCAGCCTGCCATCAGTCAGCATGGAATATTTAAAGCCAATCGCCATGAAGCCTGCAGAGTGGATTTCAGAGCTGCCACAGAGATTTATCCTCACTGACCAAATGAAGATAGGAGAGTGAACGTTATGAGTGTGATTCGCCTGGTTCCTTTCTCTATTCATCCCTCCCTCCTCCATCTCTACATAGACCCATTCATCTTTCCTTTGGTGCGGGGCACTCTCATCAGTATCAGGGAGGATTTCTGTCAGGAAATCTTCTTAAAGCAGCACTTGGCGTGGACAAACATGCACCCATCTGATCAGGCTAAAGCATGAAGAGCATCTACTCTAATGAGGAGAGGGAGATTTTGCCCATTTCATAAAAAAGTAAAAGAACGCTGCAAATAAAACTTGCACTTTTTTGTTTATGCATCACTTTTTTTTAAACACTGAGCATGTGTTGTCAAATTGGGAAAGATGTTTCTTCATTTGCATGTGTTTGGGCACTTTTGTGTTTTTAAATTTGCATCGTTTTCTAAAGTGCATGCGCGTTTCTCCTGTTGTTAGTGTTTAGGGCCGTTGCAGCGCGTTGCACCCGAAAGCCACCGTACTTTTCTGCACACTGCAGGCCGCACACTGCAGCCTGTGAACCTCTCATGGCCCTCTCACAGAGACACTTGAAGGACATTTTGGGGGAATATGCTTACTTGCTTTCTTGACATATTCTCTATCTGTCTGTTCTGTTAAATATGAAGCTTTAGCCAGGAGGCGGCTTAGCACAAAGAAAGAGAGCAGGTCAAGTTATAGTCCGCCCCATAACCCCTATAAAACCACAACTGATTAATCTAACAAGATATAAGATGTCAGAGAGCTTTTGGGGGGCTGGGGGTGGGTTTTATTACTCCCCCTGCTTCCCCTCTAAGCTAAGCTCGTGGCTGCTGGCTGTAGCCTCATATCTTTTTTTGTTGTACATTTTTATTTATCGGGTTATCTCATTAAGCAGATGCACTTTGTTCAGAGTATAAAATCATATGTTTACGTGCAGTATAAGCAAATCACAGCAACGAAACAAGACAAAAACTCTAATACGCTTACATATACTTTCTTGTACATATACATTATTTACAGTGGCGTGCGGTGAGGTTCATGGCTGGTGAGGCACTGACTCTTTCAGAGTCAGATTTACAAATATTATAGCCTATTTTGACCTTAATCGAAATATTCTGTTATTTTCAAAAGCTTTTTTAGTCTGATGCTATGATTAATTTTAAACAGACCGATCAACAAAAGGATACCCAAAATCTAAATATTGGATTGTTCTTTCTAAGTAAGATCCCATTTTCATTACAGTTGTGGTCTTACCTTGACTTGAAGATGAAGTCCATGCTATCCTTCTGGACAACAATCTCTATTACTGTTTTGTAAAAGTCCTCCTTATCTTCCTGTAGTTTCAAAAGTCGAGTTTGTTGTTTGCGGTAGAATAACAGTAGCAACAAGAACCTGTGGGCTCACGTGCGCCCCCTTCAGTGCGGCAGAGGTTATGGCTGCCTCCCCTGGTGATTTTTTCATTGCCGTTGTATATGTGTAGCGAGCCTAAATATGATATATACGTGAAATAAGTTATTTAGAGACTATGGATGGCGAGGATAAATGTAATAAAGGGATATACAAACATTACATTGGTGACCTACAGTGAGATGGGAACAGGCATGCGCTTAGGGCCCGCTTTCCAGCCAGTTTCTGTGGGGTGACGCATTCTGAGGTGAGGCAGAGCTCATCTGTGCCTCCCCTCAGAATGCGTCACCCCACAGTAAATGGCTTGAGCGCGCTCACAAAATAAGTGGCCGCGCTAAATTAGTGCCCGCGCTCCAGCAAGTTACTGTGGGCTTACGAGAGGCAGTGCTCGTGCCTGCCTCACTTCTCATCGCTCCCGTAGCGGAGCTCGGCCAATTTGCTGATTTTGACTATAAAATGCGATTGGAATCATACAGAAATCACATTTACAACACAGATCAGTGGAGACATTTTATTATTATTACTATTTAGTTTTTCTTTAATTGTTTTTCCGTTACATTGGAGTATGACAGGTGAGGCTCTGCCTCCCCTGCCTCCACTGACTGCACGTCGCTGATTATTTACATGAGCAGCCTTATATTTAGCAGCTCAGCATAACTGAAAACAATCAGCATACACTGGAGAAAAAGTCAACATGCCTGGTGCTTTAGCCCCAATACTAATAATAAGATTAACATTTGGTTCTTTTGTTTTAGTTTTTGCAATATTCTATCAATTTTCTCCATCAGCTATGTGTTTGTTTTTTTAGATGTTGCATGTTATCCTTTCCATAGTGCACACTTGGCTCACATGTAGTCCCAGAGTTTAGTATAAGATGGCTCCTCAGACGTACAGCCGGCTTACTGCATCATCACAGAGCCGCTCCACACTGACTCACTGCCTTTATGTTTAAGCCTCTTTGTGTCATCTCTACACGTCCACTGATCCAACTCTCCATCCATCAGCCAACACCTAGACAAGAGGTCTGCGTCTCACTGCAGAGCTTCTTAGGGTCTGAAGAGTGATTGACACCATGAATCTCCTCTCTGTCTCCTGTCCTTCTTTCTCCTCCTTTCCCCCGCTGTTTTTCATCTCCATGCTCACCTCTATCTATGTCTTAATGACTTCATTACTATGACTCATTCCCAGAGGAGAATAGCCTACACATCCTGTCTCTCTCATCACCGTCAGCTCCATCAGTTTCCACGGTGACATAGAAACTGATACCTACACCTACAGATCTCTTACCTGTTATTTGGCTCTAATTTCAGCTGTGCCATTAAAGCTTCAATTAGAAATAATATTCATTTAAATTAATTGAGTCTCACAGATGTATATTTTCAACCTGCATGGGGAAAAAGGGACAACTGTGCCCCCCAAACAATGCATTGTTAGGAATGTTTCTATCTCCTGTTGTAGTGCAGTGGAGGGATACTACAGTCTGCATGGTTGGCATGTGGCTACTTTAAAATCACTATTTTTGGAGTGCAGTGAAGTTGATGATGAGTTTGTGCTGTGGATGGCATTAGCTAGATTATATTATTTTTGCAGTGAGATTCACAAATATCATGTCTATCACACTCGTTAACACATGCACACACAACAGTTGCATCAATGTATGCTTTTTCTTATGTGCACACACCTGCCACATATCTACATTGTGTGCTTTTTGATGAACACACACACACACACACACACTTTTAGATGGCACAAAATCGATTCACGTATATATTTAATCAATTGCCGTAGGTGTGCGTGTGAGTGTGTGTGTGTGTGCGTGTGTGTGTGTGTGTGTGTGTGTGTGTGTGTGTGTGTGTGTGTGTGTGTGTGTGTGTGTGTGTGTGTGTGTGTGTGTGTGTGTGTGTGTGTGTGTGTGTGTGTGTGTGTGTGAATGAACACAGTCTTGCTGACTGGGGACACATTAAACACTTGGTGGGTCTGGGTCTCTGCTGCCCCCCTCTGGTCATACAGACACACTACATATTCCTGTGACTGGAACCTGAAGCTCATTTCAGGCTGCTGGACAAACTGTACCTGTCTGCTCACTTCAGTGACAGCCTCAGCTGGATCCACAATCTGCTTCTTTGGAATTCATTGAGCTCTCTTCGACATTTATCTCGATCAGAAGTGTTGTGACAGTCGCTCCATTTTAGAATGAAATAAATCAAAGATTAATAAAAAAAAAGGAGTGCTATTTTCCCAGATAAACTGTTTTCTTTCTTTTTTTTTGCTCTCATGTTGACGTCACATATCTACATCATATGAAGTCCCGTATAATTCCGTTAGCTCAAATCTTTTTTAGATGAAAATTGGGAAGCTCTGATCCTGACAGTGACCTCTTGTGGAGTATTTCTCATCACAAACATCATTGTAATAGACATGTATTGAAGATTGGACCTGCATGGATACACTCTTAACTTTGGTTGGTAGGAACAGCATTTGTTGTGATTTTTAGGATGACGCTCAGACTATGATTATACTTTCCTTCTTGAGATATGACGGTCTCATTGTGAACTCTGACAATGAGCTTTATCCTCTGCATGTTTTAATTTATTTAGGATGTTCTGGCTTTCAATGCTGGACTCTCAATGCTTGGTAAACAATTGTCTTTAAACATCGAAGCTGTTTTTACCGCACGTCAGATCTCCTCACCACAGTCCATTATTATAGGATATATGATCAGATCCTAACTTCCCTCTCTCCCCCCCAGGTGTGTGGGCCATGATCCAGATGCCCCAGTCCAGTATGGAGGTGATCCAGGGTCAGATGGTGGTTCTGAGGGCCGTGTACAGCAGGGTGCCCGGCAGTGACCTGAGCCTCAACACCATCATCTGGAACTTCCAGACACCTGAAATCACCCAGCTGGTAAGGAGGGACACCCTACATTACATCATGGAAAACACTTAAGAGATATTTGTATATCTTATCTTAAAAAAATCCCAATTTAGGGTCAGTCAAGTACATCTTATCTTTTTATATCTTGCTCCATATGAAATATGCTACAGTACACAGGCTTGGGGAGTATTGGATTACATGTAACAGGATAATGTAATCAGGATAAAAAAAAGGTAACTGTATTCCCTTACAGTTACATAAAAAAGAGGTAATCAGATTACTGCTACATTTCAAATAATTGGGAATTAGTTTGTAGGTTTTACAGTGTTAGTAAAACCTAAAAAGAGCATATAGTGTTTGTTGTAAAGGATCAGATGTTCTCTCTTCTCTGTAAGCTGTACTGTTCTGTAGGATAATACTTTACGTGTGAATCTATACGATACTGCCTGAATCTGCTTTATGGTTTTCACTTTCTTTGCTTCATTTGTTCTGCTTTTAATTCAGCAGGTGAACTTATATGTTCATTAAATAGTGTGTGTGAGCTTAACTGTGTGTGTTAAACTAAAATGGAGCATTTCCTGTCAGCTCAGATTTTATTTCTGCTTTTTCAAACTGTAGTATGTGCTCATGTGTTTCAGTGTTAGTGTATAGGCTGCTGCCTGAATTAATGAAAGGCAGCTTTTCTTATAATATCTGAGCAGAGGACACGCTTTGATACTAAATATCGTGGTTTCTTCTTTGAAAGGTCATATTGTTCTGTTGTGTCTTTACTTTTATATTTAGATATTTAGATTTGGTTAGTGATTACATTTCTTATTAGGTAACTAGTTTTTGTGATGGGTTACATTTGTAAAGAAACCCCCCTAACCCTGACAGTACTGCAGTATGTGCAGCCTAGCAGGGGAGTCTCTCGCTCTGAGGTGGAAATATCTGTGATGACAGTTATGAAGGATGTTTGCATGTTCCCATGTTTTTAATCTGACAAAGCTCTTCCTTCGTAAACCTTTAGAAACTAATCCAGGACAATAACTACCTGAAGGCGATATACTGTTTGTTCATACTGTACAAACATTATTATTTCTTTACTGCTTTAATGCACTTCTCTGTAGATTATATTATTATCATATTATATTATTGATGAAATCATTGTTATGGTGGAACAGGGAATTAAGCAGGGCACAGCCCTACACGGCCTTACACGGCCCTACACGGCCCTTCATAGGGTTGCGTAACAAGCGCAACCCTATGAAGGGCCGTGTAGGCCAAAATTCAAACTCACCTCGCACACACACTACTGAAACATCTGGCCTTGCACACACACAACTGAAATACTCTCACATTCACTACTGAACACCTCGCACACACACTACTGAAAATTAAACCTCACACATGCAACTATAAATGAACCTCACGCACACTATTTAAATCCTCTCATATTCACTACTGAACACCTCACAGCTCACACACACACAACTGGAAATTAACCTCACACACACACTATTGAAATACTCTCACATTCACTAGTGAACACCTCGCAAACACAACTGAAAATTAAACCTCACACATGCAACTATAAATTAACCTCACACATACTACTGAAATACTCTGACATTCACTACTGAACACCTCACACACACACTCCTGAAAAACATTTGACTGAAAGGTTCTCAGTAGGGAATGTGCATGTGTTTCACCTGTGTGTGTGAGGGGGATTCTTGCTGTAACGGAAGTCATTGTAATGAAACGGAAGTACCAAACTGCTAGTGGTCTCTCTGCTAGCTCCGTTAGACCGTTCTTATTATACATCCATGCGTTAGACCCGTTAGCTTAATGGCTCCAGGCTGCTACAGGGGCTCAGCTGATACAGAGAACACAACTTGAACTCGGACGTGTTTGTTGTGTTGATGCCTGGTGGAGTATTCTTCATTGAAATATCGCACTTATCTTATGGCTGTGTGTGCGAGGTGTTCAGTAGTGAATGTGAGAGTATTTCAGTAGTGCGTGTGCAAGGCCAAAATGTTTTCAGTAGTGTGTGTGCGAGGTTAGTTTGAATTTTGGCCTACACGGCCCCTCATACAACCCCCCCCCCCCAAACCTGCATTGTGTTTTTACTCATTACCTAGAGACCTGGCCGGGGCTTAGTTTACAGATCGGCCCAGGTCAGATTACTGGGCTGTACAGATGGACGACCCAAAAGAGGATCAAATCCAAAAGGAATCATGGGAAAAGAGAACTCCCAGAGCTGGAAAAGTCACAGTTGATAAAGTGAAGCTTTGTTTCATGCGACTGCCATCCAGTACCTCAGATATACTCTCATTTGTAGCCAGTATGATGAATGAGAAGGACAAACTCAAAGCCAAATCTCTATAGAGAGTGTGTGTGTGTGTGTGTGTGTGTGTGTGTGTGTGTGTGTGTGTGTGTGTGTGTGTGTGTGTGTGTGTGTGTGTGTGTGTGTGTGTGTGTGTGTGTGTGTGTGTGTGTGTGTGTGTGTGTGTGTGTGTGTGTGTGTGTGTGTGTGTGTGATGCACAGCCCTCCCCATGGTGTGTGAGGTCATCTCTGCTGACTAACTATTAAGCTAGTTTAACACTGAACAACTTGTTCTCTTTTTGTTTTATTAAACAATGTTTGTATGTGTATGTTTGGGAGGTGTGTGGCGCAGTGGATAGAGCCGGGTTCAAACCCCACTGCAGTCAGCATGTCGTTGTCCCTGGGCAAGACACTTCACCCCAAATTGCTCCTGTGGGGATTGTCCACAGTATTGAGTATGTAAGTCGCTTTGGATAAAAGCGTCTAACAAGTAACATGTACTGTAATAATGTAATGTATTCTCCAGGATCTTGTCGTCCAGTAATAGGGTCCTGTAGGGGTCATATGTCTTACATGTTACAGTATTGACATGCACACACTGACTCCTATAGAGCGCTGTTGGCATCAGGTTGTTAAATCCATATGCAATCACACTCTGACTGCCTCCACCTGTGATCCATATGCCTGAAGCCCAAGCCACTGAGCCACTGTGTGTGGTACAGAATAAAGTACTGCATCACCCAGTGCAGCGGGGGGGCTTATTGAAGTGTATTTATGTGTGAAGATGGTAGGCTTTGAGCATAGACTGTATATATACATAGGAGTTCAACCTATCCCGTTTTCCTCCCATGGGACAAACTGAAAGTTCCCCTGATGGCTGGAGCCTCTTTCATTTCTTGTTATTTTCCATCTGACCCTGGTTCTCTGTTCTCGTGTCCAGATCATCTCCTACACCAAAGGCTCCATCAGCGTGGGCAGCCCCCAGTTTAAGGGCCGCGTTGGGTTCAGCTCCAGCATGCCCTCAGAAAACCTGTCTCTGTACATCAACGACACGCAGGAGTCTGACTCAGGACGCTACGTCTGCCAGGTCATCATCCCCAGCGACCCCGGCAGCACCGCCCAGCTCACTCTGGACGTGAAGGGTAGGACAAATCCTTAATATAAATATACTTCTTACACTGAAAACTGGACCTATGTTGTGAAATGTAAGAAAGTAATCACTGTGTGATCCTGTTCTCAGTGCCCCCGGCGGTCCCTAAGTGCTCTGTGTCGGGGAAGCCGGTGCTGAAGGGGAACGTGACCCTGAGCTGCTCCTCCAGCTCCGGGAAGCCTCTCCCTCTGTACCGCTGGAAGAAGACCAGCCCCACCTCCCAGGTCTTCTTCTCCCCCATGCTCAGTAAGTGTCAAACTAACTTATTATTGAGATTTATGAACCTGCTCCTGTCGCTGCAGCTGAGCAAGGGTAGACTTCAGACATGATTTTAATTCTGGAAATGTTAGTGTTTTGTGTTTTTCTCGCTTTGCAATCAAGGAGTAAGTTTGGACTTTAAAGAGTGTGTGTAAAATGTTCATGTGATTAAAATAATGAATACATTCATGTGGATCAAAACAGGTTTTGTTTTGATCCACTTGTTGTTTAATATATATAATATTAAAATGAGTTGGATAAAACTACCTAATAATAAATTAGATACTTAGAAAGGATATGTTTGCAGTTCAGGGGGGGGTGTGAACAGGTGGAGTAATGGGAAGGGGCCTACACTGCTGATTGGGCTCCTTTAAACCACATGACTCTCAGCTTTCACACACAATGTATGCAATGTAGGAGACTGTCAGGTCCCCACAGTGCGGTGACCTGTTCAATTATAGGCCAAAATAACACATTTAAACTGCATGTAAACAAACACTTAACTTATACCTGACTATCCATAGAACGCATTTGAACTCAGATCTCTTGAGGTGAAAGGTCAAGGGACCCCACCTCCTCTCAGGTTCAGCGCTTTTCTCATGGAGGCCATATTCTATGACGTGCGCTCTGTTTTAATTGGAAACAATTGAAAGAAGAAGCCGGTGCTCAGAAAGTGGCGCTGTGTGGACACACAACATGCTTTACCTGAGCCTACAACAGCTGACAGTACCATTCCATTTTGAAGAGTTTAAGGAAAGTTAGGAACACCTTTTGTCTTGTCTGTGGTTAGTTTGGATGACAAAGTAACCAACACTTAGAATTCAAGATGAACTTCCATCTAAATGGTTGTGAATAATACAGCAAAGCATCTTCATATTGTTCTAATGTGTCAAAGCCATGCAGTGTGATTCTGTTCTGTCTGGTGTGTGCATGTGGGTGTATGTGCATGTCTTAATACACATGGAGTGATGTGTATGCAACCTGACTGTAGTCCTCCGTCTTCTCTGCTTGGAGTGGCCAAAATCCAACAGTTAGTCTTATAGCTCCATATTTCAAAGGTTCTTTTTCTTGGGCACATGTAGAACTTGGGAAGCAGTGTCAGACGCGCAGTCAAAGTGTCAGACGCGTAGTAAAACATCCACTGGACGTTTTGGTTGCTCTTGAACGTTTTATTTCCAGAAAAAAAAATAAAAAATACGAAAACAATATCCCCTTTTTTAACGTAAACTTAAACAGCAGATCCTAATCATCTGTCTTTACTCAAACAAAGGCTGTGTGTCAATGACGGTATTGCTGCTGCCCTCCCGTCACACACTGCAACTCCAATGTAAGGTTTTAGCCCCCCCCTCACCTGAGCAAAGCGCACCTCCCACTGAAACAGAAAAATGTATTGATAAAGGTTCCAAATAAATCAAAACCAAATCAACTGAAATGCGGCTGCTCCACTGCTGTTTCAGACGAGAAGACCGGCACTCTGAAGCTGAGCAACCTGAACAGCAACATGTCAGGGAAGTACGAGTGCAGCGCCAGCAACTCCGCCGGCTCCGAGAGCTGCTCCATCAACCTGGACATCGTCACCTGTACGTAGCACCCAGCACCTGATGACATTTCAAAATATGAGTTCTTTAGCTAATGTTCGTTTACTTGTAATGTGACCATTTTGATTTGACACACTCCCTTGAGTTTAACAAAGAGAACGTTCACTAAAACAATATGAATGCTATGTAGACATAATGTAATTACTGTGTTTCCCATAATTCTTCCTGTAGCCACTAATGTGGGGATGATTGTTGGCGCCACAGTGGGCTCAGTGGTCGGCTTCATCTTGCTCCTCCTCATCTGCCTGTTTTTCCTGGTGAAGAGGCGGAGAGACAACGAGGACGACATGGCTAACGAGATCAAGTGAGTTGGTGTGGCGAGCCTTTATCAGTGTCCATGTATACATCTACAGGAGGAGTAATGTAAGGGGCACATGTGTACACTCTGTGGCTGTGGTCAAATCCTGTCCTCTGTCTTTCACTAATCACTAACCCTTAACATCAGTGAAAGATGTCATGGGGTCAAGGAAAGATGTGAAGGAGAAGTCTTCAGGACATTATCAGAATCAGAATTCCTTTATTTGTCCCGCAACGGGGACGTTTACAACAGCAAGAGCACAGTGCCGAGTCAAGAGTCAAAAGAGTAGACTTACATATTAAATGAAAAGATATGCACACGTTACTAATAATAAATAAACACATTAAGTCAAATCAAATAACAGATAAGGACACCATGGTAAAAAAAATGAAAAAAATACCAAACTTAAGAAACACCAACAAACTCAGTCCATATTTTGAATTCTGACTTCATTTGATGATTTTATAACAGTAATAAGGGTAACGTTCATCGTTTGCCTTTCGGTTTAACATTGTTAAAAGTTCAAAACAAATAAGAACTTTAGCAAGCTTTGGAAGAAGATATAAAGCGTTAATAAGCTCTGTAAATTACATGATCTATGTTTGTTGATCACTATCGGTTGTTCTATGATCGGCCTATTTGGTTTGCCACTTTATATGTTGGCGCTGCAAGGAATTGTGGGACAGCATTATGTGTAGTGCTGAGCTAAGTGAGACAATGAAGAAGCATTGAATTCCTCTCCTATCATGTAGAGAAACAGCTCTTATCATGGCTGACACCAAGTGACTTCTGGGTAATGTTACTCAGTTAGGAACCCTTCTGAGACTAAAACACTATTTGACAGTAATCTGAAACAGGAAGTTGACGTTGTGTCCTGTCCCCCCCGCAGGGAGGACGCTCAGGCTCCTAAGCGTGTGTCCTGGGCTAAGAGTGGCATGGGTTCAGATATCATCTCTAAGAACGGGACCCTGTCCTCCATCGGCTCCAGCCCCCACCACCAAGAGCCCCCCCACCACCACAACAACCACCACCACCTGCAGCAATACCCGCAGCGCCCCCCCTCAGACACCGCCTCCATCATCACGGCCACGGGCAGCATGGCCGGGTACCGCCCCTCCCGCCACCACGGCGCCTCCACCCCCACCCCCACCCACTACAGCTACAACAACAACAGCACCCTGCCGCGGGGGGGGGCCCTCCCCTCGGAGGCCAGCACCAACGGCAGCTCCCTCCCCAGGCCAGAGCGCTACGGCCAGCTGCCCCAGGCCCAAGTGCTCCCGCAGACCTACAGCCAGCCTCAGCACCTCCAGGCTGCCCCCGGCCCCCCACCGCTGCCCACCTCCACGGTCACTGCCTCCAACATCGCCCGCATGGGAGGGGTGCCCATCATGGTGCCTGCACAGAACCAGGCCGGATCTCTGGTGTAAACCTGCAGCGCTGACACAAACTGTCCTGCCCCCCCCCCACACACTGTGGAGAGGGTCAGCTGCAGATATGTTGAAGGGGAACTCTACACCTAGCGTTAGCAGGAACACAGGATGGAGAGCTCCACTCCACTTCCTGCTTGACTGTCAGACACAAACTGTTTTGCTTATACGTTAGTCTTTTATATTCTTTCTGCACCGTATACATTTCAAACTGTATACTGTAGAAATGATTTTCATACATTTGTCAAGTATCCACTTTTCTGCTTTATATCATATCTAACATTTCATTTGTTTCTTTGTTTCATATTTTTCAAACGCTGTATTGTACTTTTTCTCCTGCCACACAAGAATGAAGCACATAATAACCGGATAATGACCAAGGGGGTGGGGGGGGTGGGTCTCACAGATGAATATAAAATAATGAAGAAGAGGGCTAAGCTGTGTCCATTATCTTTATATGAACAAAACCTAAATAGAAAATAGATGTTAGCACAATATATCAGACAGAGGAGTGAATGTCCGAGTCAGAGAGGGGTCAGGAGGGGTCAGGAGGGGTCAGGAGGGGTCAGGGAGGGGCTGGGTGTACAATATGAAGATGTGTATGAATGAGTGTGTTGCTGCAGCAGAAGGACGTTATACATGATACAAGTTTGGCATTGCAAAATATTGTAATCCTTTTTTTGGCTTTACTTCTGTCGGTGGTTCAGATTATAAAATGCTTTCAGACTGAATTCTTTAAACACAGATTAGCAAAAGCCTCTTAGAATATTGAGCAGTATTTAGAAATGCAGTTTGGTGACTTTGCTGAAACACAAGTCCAAACTTTGAATAATTTAAAGTTGCCTGCTAAATTTAAATTGTAAATATGATATTTATTTTCTTACAGCATAGCATAGTGTTGGCCTGTATAGGAAATATAACACAGGTCCCATGTCTGCCTGCAACACTGGATACCGAACCAAAGATAAGATGGAACGCTTCGTTATTACATGTTTGTTTTTTTCTCTCTTTTCTTTCTAATTCAGGTCAGTCGGAAAAAAACAGATTTTTTTCCAAGTTACAGTAACAGGAAGCTGACACAAGTCTTTCCAAATCAAGATCACTATTGTCCACGTGTTGTTCCGGAAGGTGCCTAGATAGTGCTCTGATACTGTTTCCTTTCATGAGAAACACCTCCTTTAAGTTTGGGGCTTCAAAGCAACTTCCAGAATATGATAAATACATGTGGTCTTAATACTGCTACAGCTAGTTTCCATCTGTAGGCACTGTGCTCAGTGAGTGATCATTAAGATGATGAACTTATTATGAATGTTAGCTTTTAAATGTATAATATCTTTATACAGAGTCAGTATAAATCAAAATGGCTAAAGTCTTAATAATAAATAATGCGAAAAATCAATGCATCTATAAAACATAAGACTTAAAAAAGTGTTAATCATGTTTTCTTTTCTCCACCTTGAAGTCACAAAAATGCCTATTGCGATATAATTTGAATTATTTAAAGAAAGGAAAAACAGATATATGTATAATGATAGTGATCATTGTGCTGTGTCGTCATTACACTGGAGCATGTGTGAGCAGAGGATGTACGTGATGACGGCTCAGTGAGCTGCCAGGAAGCTTCGGAAGTTATTGTTTTTTTTTATTGTTTTTACTACATTAAAGCCAAATGACAAGAGTTCATGTGGGAAGTGGTAAGGAAATCATTGATAGAGCTACATTGTTGTGAATGGCAGTGTACATTATGAACATACAAATGTATTCAAACAAGCCTTTATTTTTATACAGTGATGTATAAGAGCACAGAGCTCGCTGTCAGTGAGTTCCACCATGATGGATTGTTCTGGAGGCCAGACGCTCCTCGTCCATGTACAGTGTGCACTTGTATACTCCATATTTATGTTTATGGAAAAGCTTTGTAAAACATTTTCAATTAAAAGAGAAATGATCACTTGTGTGTGTGTATGAGTGTATTGAAGCCATACGAGAGCATCACATTCATCTTCTCAGCAGAAACAGTCACATTTCATAACCGCTGTCTGCATCTGCCCTCTACTGGCCATAGTAAGCCAGTACAGGGTAAACACATATTTCCTCTTCCACCTTTCAGAAATGTGTATATCTATGACATGTATTTCCTAATATACATTATAATGGATCTAGAAGTAAAAAAATAAGCCTTTAGGAGCATTTAAATGGACTTGATATCTTTCACAATCCCGGAGGTCATCCTGAGATATAATGTGGGACTTCTTTTGCAATACAGTGCAATAATCACTTTGTTATAAATGTCCCAACATTTTTAGCCATAGCTTTGTACATATTTTCTTTAACTAATCTTTTCTTTTCTATATTTGATAAGTGAGCTTATTATTTATGATGGCATGCCTTTTATCCCCTGTTATCCCACTGTTTGCTGTAACACTGTATTTCCCCGCTGCTAATAAAGGAACTCTGATTCTGCCACCAGGGGCTAGCACAGTCCCTCTATCAGGGACACAAGAAGCCAAAAGAAAGACCCTTATGCTAAAGTACACATACATTTCAATCTCAACCCTTTCTCTGCATATTGTTGTCTTAAGACACACATTGTAACATTTTAAGTCTTGTTTCAGGGGTCAGATAAAGCAGAGCCACAAGTAACAACATGCCAGAGAAGGTTAAACAAATGTGAAATGTAACAACTTTAAATCAAGATTAAAATAGACAAGCATTTAAGAAGCATCATTGATGGTTTAAATATATCTATATATTTGTATTAAACACTCCAACACTATGATTTTTGTTTTGCTTCTTCAATTGGTTACTTATAAGAGATGTTTTATGATGCTAACCCTGACCTGATGGAGTTGTGCTTCTCTCCTGCTCAGAGCAGTGACAGATCCACCAATCACAATTGAGAGGAAGTTCTGTAGCATGTTTTTGTGTGCTGAAAGTTAGAATTACTGGGACCCATAAGGACAATGTATTTTTTATTCAAACGTACAGAAAATATGGTGCTGGTTACATATTGTGTAAATGAAGCATCCAGTTCACACACTGAGAATGGACTTCACTGACAGTGAGGTCCATTCCACACCAACTCTGCTTTTGGGGTTTTCCCTCTCCTGTAGAGTGTTATAGGTTTTAGTGCATGTAAATAGTCTGCAAAGGCTAAAATCCTGTTCTCTTCAGAGGGAGTTTCTCCCCCATAAAAACACCCTTTGTGCTGTAGAGATATCCCGGGGCTCATCAGAATTGACATGTTACCTAAACTCTGAGGGTAAAGACAGAAAGACGCAGTGAAAGCGAGGGTAGAATGTTTATTAGAATGAGCGATTAGCGATGTAACATTCACCTACATGGCACAAAGGAAGTCATACATGTGCTAATATGCAATATGCACGCCTTTATTGAAATGAGCTCATCACATCAGGGGGATATATCAACAAAAAAATACGCCTCCACGTATCCTGAACAGGGTGAAATGACACGGTAAATAAAAGTAAAAGTCAACAACAGAGTTTATATAAAAATGTAGAAAAAATGTAAAGTAATTGAAAAAGAGTCAGAAGAGCATATTAGGTGAACTAAAAAGAACAAAGCTTTAATATGCACTGCACCCGTAATAGTCGCGTGTCTCCTCTCATCCACATGGAGCTACAGTACTAAGTTGGCAGAAAAGGTGCATGGCTTTTATATTCAAATGAATGTTCAAATAGGGTGGATCATGTGTGGATGCGGTATGGCATCTATTTGACAGTGTGGTCCTGATGAATCAATGAGAACAGGCAACAGAACTCAGTGGGAAAGAGCTCAGTGTGAACACATGTTGAAACATTTGGCAACATTGAGATTATGTTAGAGGAAACAAAGAAAAGAGAGACTGTAGAGAATAGAAATAAAAAAAGAAAGTCAAAATAATGTTGTATCCCTGTAGCGAAGTGGTGTTGTGATATTAATAGCATGTCATGCTCCGTTAGTGAAGTCCTTTACAGTTGTAAACTACTTGTTGAACTTCAGATGGAGGCCATGTTGTCCGGCCTGAGCGCAGTGTGCAGGGGGGGGGGGGGGGGGGAGGGGGGGGGGGGGGGGGGGGGGGGGGCGGTGAGCTCAGCGAAAGGCAGTAATCAGAGTCGAGGTGGATACAGTGATGTCGATGGTGAGGATCCATGATTGATAATGGTAAAGATGGGAGGTCATGCAGCGGGGGCCAGAGGCAGGGAGGGGTGGAAAGCCCTCAGGAAGAAGTCTCCGTCACAATGTGGCCCCTGGCCTCCAGAGCTTTAGGTGGGACACAAGACTGGAGAGGAAACAGCATAACAGTGATGAGTCACTACAGGAGGATGTATAATACATTATTGTAGTGATTATTGTAGCATAATGAGAAATAAGACAATATTCCAATCAGAGAACAAACTCTAATTTCACTGTTGTGATGCAGGTCTACTGTGGTAAGGGTTCCAGTCAATAGAATGATCTACTAAATGTACGTTGTTTCCTTACCTTTCAGTATGTAGTCAGTTAGCAATGTAGGCACCTTCTCACTGTCGTCCTTCATGGCATAGAGAACTAGGTGGGAAATAAAGTCTTTTAACTCTGGGAATACTCTTTTTACCCGCTGGTAGATTTGTATTTGCCTTTGTGTTCTGGGCTATTCTTACTTTTTGTGAGCATCTGCAGGTCTTCAACAGTTGGAGGGATGCCTTTCTTCTCATATGGAATAACTGTGTTTAGATACTGGAACAGAGACGTTCAATGATCAGGGTTAACACAGCACTTTACCGGAAAAGCAATAGCTCCACATTTTGGGAAATATGCTAATTGTCTCTCTTGCCATGATTTAGGTGAAAATATGAAATCCACTCTGATGTTAATATATGAATATAAAGCTGGAGTCAGGAGATGTAAATGTCCCCTCTGTGGGACGAATAAAGGTATTCTGATTCTGATGGTTCAGTTAACGAAGATCTTGAAAAAGAAGGACACATTTAGCCTGGCTCTGTCCATTATGAGTGTGTTACAGGTTCATCTAATGCCAAATTCAACAAAAACCTCATTTTTAACCATTCTCTTTAGTGTCTGGTGTATAATATTTAATTGTATAATTACAACACCATAAATGCAGCACACATGCTCTATAAATGGTTTGACCTAAAACCTTTGAACTCTGTCTTTACCTGTTTCTCATTTCCTGTGCTTCCAAATGTCTGTCTGATGCCGGTCTGCAGGATGTTAGACAGTCCCTCCATGCTGAAACGCTGTGGGCCACACACACACACACACACACACACACACACACACACACACACACACACACACACACACACACACACACACACACACACACACACACACACACACACACAACAAAATATACATTATTAAAGGCTGCTGATCATAGCTTTCTTGATCAAGTTGAGAGTCTGACCAAGAGTATCTTTTGTTGGAATCCAGTACAGGATCATGACACCACAGTACTAAAAGCTTTATTGTTTATATTGCATCTGCATCAGTAAGACATGTGTCCATTAATATTCCTTCAGTGATGCAGCCTCAGGTGTGCAGTCAGCACATTAAGGCTGCTGCATGGAGAGGAAATGCATTAGGTTGTGTTTCTGTTCCTGGACAGACTGGACTGTTACTGTATGAGAACACTGCTCTCTTTAGGATCTTTCCTGGAAGACACTTAACAGGCTAATGGACCTGAGATCCATTATGCCAAAAGTCAATGAGAAGTAAGAGGGAGAGTTTTCAAGCACTGTGCGTTTACTTTTTTTTCTAATTCACTTAAAGTGGACCTATCATGCTATATTATAATAATATAGTGTAGGACCATACCTATATAAGGCATTTTTATACTTTTTTTTTTTCAAAATACCAAACAGATCATGCATTTTAGCCATGCCTCATTTTTCTCAATTTGACATGTTTTAGCTCTGTTTTTGCAAGGGCTGATTCTGTGAGAACAGCACCATCTACAGGCCTGGCATATGTACTACAGCGTCTCCAGCGCTTTCGAACGGCAATGGCCGTGGCTGTCTCCTCCTGATTGGTGGAGTTGGCCCAATAGCCGTAGCGCCACCGTCCTGACGTCAGGACAGTGTTCAAATCTGGATCAGTTTTTATCAGATCCGTTGCAGCCCCTTTTTTAGAGATTTGGGTATGGAGGAAAATAGAGAGGGTTGTGTTTTCTGACACTTGGTGAGTTCCCTGGAACACCGGGGACACATATTCATGTATACAAGACGTACAAAAGTGCATTTTGCATGATAGGTCCCCTTTAACTTAATGAAAACTGCAGAATAATGCGCAAAAAACATTTTCTGAGATAATCCGGGCAATTGCGGCACATTATCTCTGGTGTAGTGACAGTCAGTAACGGGAGAACAAGTTTGCATAACGTGTGTAAAAGGGCATTCCCACAGACTCATATAGTGTGAATAATTCAGGGTATTTAAGGGCATGTGTCTCACCTTGACAGGCATGCTCCCGGTCTTCTCTGTGTTGGCTGTGGGGGCTGTGTTCCCTCCGGTCACAGGGGGCGTCCCCCCCCCCTGCAGGCTCAGGGTCTTGTCCCGGCGTCTGCGCTTGCTGCTGTCCCGCTGCTCCCTCTGCCTGTTCTGCACCTCCATCAGGGCCGTGATGAACGTGTTCTTCACCTCCTTCTCAAAGTCCAGCTCCTCGCGCCGGGCCAGCTGGCCGACCAGCTCCTCGGAGAACTCTCTGATGGTGGCCTCCACCCGCTGCAGCAGCTCCACCAGCCCCGAGCTGGGCATCAGAGTCAGGCCTGCAGGGGAGAGCTGGGTTTGACTTTGTGCAGCTGTACCCAGCGGATCAGAGATAATGCTAAAATATGATCTAAATCAGGAGTGCTGGATTTTACTCCATTTGGTGGAAAAGACTTGTCACCAAAACGATATGTTTACTGCAACACCATGTGGTCTCTCTGACACTAGCATTATCATTAATTTACTTAACTGTGTTCATCTTTTGACTCTTTCAGGGTAGTGGTTCTCAACTTAATGTTGTTAGTAACCAACTTTCAACAGAAGGATTTTTGACGCATATTGAACGTTTATGAATTGAATTTAGGGCAGTTCGATCACAGAGTGATATCACCTCTATAGATTATTCAGAGGATATACTTAATAAGATTGATAGGGTTCCATAGGGGAGATTTGAGAAAAAAAGCAACCATTTCAATTAATTTCATGACCACTTGGAGGATCACAATCCCCAGGTTGAGAAACACTGACATTGCGAGGTGAAGACAATTAGATCAAAAGCTAAATCCTCACATAAGCAACACGTTCAAACCCATCATTTACATTTTAAAGGGCCCATGTCATGGCCATTTCCACTGATCATAATTCCATTGTTGAGGTCTACTAGAATAGATTTCTATTGTGCAATTTCCAAACTCACATTGGTTTCTCATACAGCATCTCTGTAAACTACGTGTATTCACTGAGTTTCACTCTCTGCCTTTAACGGCTCGTTGTAGCTCCAATAGCTCCAGCCCCCACCCTCCCTGTGAGCACAGTGTGCTCTGATTGGTCGGGACGTTGTGAATCGCGCTGAGCTCCGTGGAGGTGTTGTTTCCTTGTTAGCGATACACAGCCAAACTCATCCTGAGCACACACAAAGTCACATCCGAAGTAAAAACAATAAGTGTGGCTTGATAAGAAAAAGGTTGATAAACGCTGTGAGAATGGGTCTGCAGAGAGAATTTCGCCACGATCCCAACTGTCTGTTATCAGCCTGCAGCCAGGGAGGAGAAATCAGCTGAGCTGCTGCCTGGTCAATTTGAACCAATCAGCGGCGCTTAACGTAACGGCTCCGCGGACGTAACGTAACGGCTCTACGGATTGGTCCATTTCGTTCCGGGTACGGCATGACATCATGCCGTACCCGGAACGAAATGGAAGAATCAAATGGACAATGACGTATCTCCAGCGAGGCGTTTTGGGGAGGTATTTTCTGTGTTAGAGTTTTACTCGCTACAGGGTGTACTTTGAGGGTTTGTGACTCTGCAGACCGTTTACATGCATACAAACCTTCATAACACACAAGGGGACGGGTAATAACCGGAAAAGCATGACATGGGCCCTTTAACACTAACAATTCATTTATTCTGAAAGGAGATAACCATGTGGATTACTTAATCAAAACTTGTTATTTAACGGTGTCCTGGTGACACACATCTCTCCAACCTCTTCGCAAAAAGTTAACATGTTGTTACATTAAATGGATATAGCAACTTGTGCTTGCTTGTTTGTCATTGATCATGTTGTCCATTGTGATATCTATAATGTCCAGGGAGGCAAGAAGGGGGGAATAGGGAGGTGGTCTATGGTATTTGATTGAAGTTGAACGACATGCTTCACAGACACTCACCTGTGTACTACCTGTGTACGGTGTATTACCATTTGAAGGACTGCTTTACTGTAAGAAAACGTACCTTCGTAGGAGCAGTTGTTGTTGGAGGCCAGGGACAGCTGCCGGATCTCCTCCAGCAGGGAGGGGCTGGTGCTGGAGGAGCAGCGGCTGCTCTCCTCCTCCTCCTCATCCTCCTCCTCCTCAGTTTCAACAGGATCTGGAGAGTTCTCCATCATCTCATCTATCTCCTCAATGACCTTAAAGACAAGATATGGCAGGATGCAGGGAGACAATATATGGATCAAAATGGGAATAACACATCTAGCAGTTCAAATAGTCCAAACAGTTCCTCAGGGATCTGTTCTTGGTCCTTCACTTTCTTTCTTTCTATCTAATGCTGTTCACACCCAAACATTTGTTCCAGGATTGCAGGGATGATATCATGTATTTCATGCTTGATGGGCAAACCCCTGTTTTACACCCTGATTTATTTGTTATTTAACACACACAAACACACTCCCACACACCTGATCAGCTGTGATAAGAGGCTCTTCATTCAGACAGTTGGCGTTGTCATTCTTCTCATTCATCTCCTCCTCCTCTTTTTCGTGGATCTGCAGAAAGGGAGACAAAGCATGAGAGCAACAAAGAAACAGCTGGGACAGTACAGTGTGTCTTCGTGATAAATGAGAGACAAAGCGCTAAATCCACAATCATTTCTTAAAATAACTTTGCCTGGCATGGTGGAGATCAGTCACAGAAAGTCTTATGCTTAAATATTTGATAGGTTTTACATTATTTAGTGTCACCTTTTATTAAGCAATATACTCCACTATATTCCATTTTCAACTCTGAAATGTGGTTCAGACAGACGGAAACTCCCAAACAGCTGAACTAAAGGCTGGAAGCAGCTGAACTGGAGCACTATGCTGCACTTCCACTACCCTCCTCTCTCTCTGGGGCAGGAACTTCAGTCTGGCCTTGACCAGCCCAAACATGGCCCAGACTGCTAAGTGCCTGCTGTCCAGCTGTATAAGGCCATTAAGGAGAGAGAGGAAGAGGGGGGCTCTGCTGAATGGCAGCACAGTCAAGGTTGGCCAGGCATGTCTTCAAGTGTCAGCATGAGAATAAGCCTCAGAAAGAAAGTGTCAGGACGATGTTAGCTGCTCAGTTGGACCTCTCAGACTAAAACATAATGACACATTGTGTCTTTCTGTACTGATATAAAACTAAAACTATAAAAAAACAGATTTTACCCAACAGCTAAATTGGACAGACTATTTTCCCAGATCTTAACCTGGGAAAATATATATGAGGGCGTGGAGTGATTCGTACCTCCTGGTCCGACAGATTGCCGTTGAGTCCCTCAGAGTCGTTGCCGTCCCAGGTGGAGATGTAGTTGTCGGTTAGAGCATCCCACACACTGCAAAACAGCACACACACATGCACTCATGTAACCGAGGTAAAGTACCACAGAGACATGTAAAACAGCATCAGGCTACAGTTTGGTGTGTTGTTTCCTCTCCCTGGTTGTAAAGAGGTCTCCAGCAGCCGGCAACTTAGTCAATATGTCAATATGGTAAGTCAATGATGGAGGTCAATACACAGAGCTGGAGGCTGCAGAGAAACAATGCACAACAGAAAACAGCTTACTACTCATTAAAAGGTATCCTTAGCAGAGATTTAGATAAAGCTTCTCACATCATGGTGGAGGTCTCTGCCTGCAGCCGGGGGCCAGCATCTGTCTGAGCGGGACCACAGAGAGCAGAGAGAGGGTCTTTGTGTTCCTCCTCCTCCTCAGAGGCTGGCTCAGGCCTGCTGCCCCGGCACTGCCTCCACCCGGCACACTGGACACCATTCAGCTGACCGCTTACCTCACCACCCGCACGATGACATTATTGTGTGCACATAAACAATGTTGTGCTGGCATTGTTCAATGTTTTACTGATGTAAATAAACAGCATGAACCATTTTTCATTGCCAATCAAACATTGAGGACTGTTGTCAGGGAGAGGACTTCTTACTTTTGATTGTGTTATTACTCTGTTAAGAAGTATGAAACACTGCTATGAAATACATTTGAATTCAAAATGCTGCTAAACAGAATATTTGTTTCGCAGAATAAAACCCACACTGAAAAAACGTAACCGTTGACATTAATTAAATGTATTATGTCTACACATTTCCCATAACTGTATTAGGTTAGTTGAAAGCACTAATATTAAGTTGAACCTAAAATGTAGAAAACAAATCCTCATTGTTGCTAACATTTACAAAGTAGCTGCAGCCCAAAATAATGGAATAACCTCTTAAAAAAACCCTCACCTCTCCTAAAGTAATGTACTAGAATGAAACAATTTTTTTGGAAACAGTCAGGTGAGCTGTTCCCGAGGTTTCTAGCCTTATGCTAAGCTAACCTTGCTAACTATAGCTTTGTACCAATAATAACATTTTCCCATTTGTCGTTGAATGAAACGGAACACTTAAAATTAAATGGAATTGAACCAGCAATCAGCACACTACAAACCATTACATGTACAGCTCGTACCACTTGCATAATAGAGGGGCGGGGGGCATCTGGCTAGCAGGAACAAGAACTCCATGTCACAGAGCTGTCCTGCTGTGTTAGTTGGCCCGCAGCCATGACATAAATCATTCTTCTCGTTCTCGGTCAGCTACAAAATGTGCGACAGTCTGTTTTCAAACAAACAGCAGAATGACATCATTTCTGTGAGGGCACAACTTAAAGATACCCTTTAAATCAGACCACACCTGCCAATGAAGAGCGATCATTGTCCAGTATGCCATAACACGACTTAATGTCAGAGTTATGAACATAACAAGTGCAGTGCTTTAGTTTCTAGTGATAGCTGCTTGAGGTGATTTGAAATGGCCTCATGTATCTTGCAAAATGGTTATGGAAGGGGCGGGACTATTAGGAAAAACCCCAGAGCAGGATGGAACGGATGTTATGTTATTATATCTGTAAGAGTCCTCGGCCACAACAAATCAGTTTAAAGCATCATCATCATAACGTGCAGATTGATCACATCCACCCACAGCCATGTGCATCTGTCAGTGATCAGTAAATGCAGACCTATTTTAATAGGGCAATTTAATAGTGCTTGTTAGATCATGCGATTCCTCTCCAAAGCTCTTCTCTTACACCTACAGGCAGGCTATTTGTAGTTCGATTCATATCCACACAGTGTGAGGACCTGTGTGTTTCCGCCTGGCCGCCCGCAGCTGAAGGAGGAGGGTCTGCAGTCAGCTGGTCTGCAGTCAGCTGGTCTGCAGTCAGCTGGTCTGCAGTCAGCTGGTGTGCAGAGACAGACACAGAGTGGGAGCTAACTGAGGCGTGCACCATGCACAGTGAATGATTCAGACTATGGCCCCCGGTGGAGCTGGGGGGGGGGGGGGGGGACCTGCTGAGACACTGTTTTTGCCCTGAAAGTGTGTTGTATATAATAATAACATGATGACTGTAATTAATAATGACTGAGCGTAATTAGCATGATGAACTGGAGGTATAGTCTGGCTGTCATATTTTACTTTGTCATGACTCATTACAGTATTAATAGTAAATAATAAATAGATTTATTTTGTTAGCGCTTTTATAGGTGCTCAAAGACACTTTACAGATATTGTGAAAAGAAAAGAAAAGAACAACAAATACATATATATAGTTAAAGTCAAATTAAAATCAAGCAATACAAAAACAATCACACATCAAAAGCCAGATTGAAGAGGTGAGTTTTTGTGAGTTTTTTGAAGGTGGTGAGGTCAGGGCAGTCTCTGATGGGTTGTGGGAGTGAGTTCCAGAGGGAGGGGGCAGCGACGGAGAAGGCTCTGTCCCCCCAGGTCTGGTGATTGATGCGGGTGGGGATGGATAGGAGGTTGGCTTCTGATGAGCGGAAGCAGCGGGAAGGGGTGTGGTGGTGCAGCAGGTCTGTGAGGTAGGGGGGGGGCCTGGTTGTTGAGGGCTTTGTGAGTAATGAGGAGGACTTTGAAGTCGATTCTTTGACGGACGGGGAGCCAGTGGAGGTTCTGGAAGACGGGAGTGATGTGGTCTCGGGAGCGGGTGTGGGTTGTTCCTCACGATTATTCTGTCAAGAGTATTAATAACTACTAAAGATTTTTCTCGTTTCTATGCTCTGTAGATGACATGGCAGGGAAAGCAGACATCACATATGCCTTCTGTGGCATATATATTTTAAAGTTTTACACTCAAATGTGCATTTGGTTGCCGTAGTAGCCCACGTTTCTTTGACACCTCGTCAGAAGCATTATGCTGGATTCTCTACAACACCTGCAAGCACCCCTTGGTGTCCATCTTTTAACCATTTCCTAGTAGTTGACTTTCCCAGTTAAAACCTTTTCAACAGCTAGGCCTACCTCTTTCAGACAGGAACTGGAAGCCCTTCCACACGTCTAGAATTATCTGTATCATTCTCGATAGTGTGCTGATGCAAGCTTCACTGCCACCAGACAAGCTGTCCCACATCAGAACAGCCATAATTACAATTCATGTTATTTATTTAGCGCCTTTCCAAGTGTTCAAAGTGCTCTACGTTATACTACATATTAGACTTGTAATACATTCAATACTGATTACTGCCTTCAATCATGGTCTCCACTGGTAGTCTCTCTAAAGAGATGTTTTATATTTATAAGGAAACTAGCTCTAGCTCTAGCCTTCTGTCCAAACCTTAAGGCACTATAGTCTTAGGTCGCGTTCACACCTGCCTTGTTTAGTACTATTGAATCGGTCCCTGGAGCGTTAACCCCTTGATGCGGTTTGTTGGATTGGTGTGGAAGCAGTCCGATACCTCTGCTCCGCCTAAAAGAGGTGGTCTCGGGTCGCTCGCTAGTAAACTCTGGAGCGGTTCATTGCTAGTGTGACGTAGTCCGCATCAAAACTTAGGGAACAAACTTTGCGCGTCATCGCCTTGTTTTGCCATGTGTGCAACATCCAGTAACCTATAGGGTCATGCATTCATTCTGGTGACTGCTTACATCACTGGTCCCCTGTGTACAGAGAAAGGCAGTGGTACAATAACATCAGAGCCACCTGTCATCGGTGAAACCTCCTCACTGCATAACGTCTCATTATATGTGTTAATGTTTTTATGCACATTGTCTGATTTATAATCCTATGCACCGGCCGCAGAGTCTGTTGATACACTCTCCAGATTAACAGCAGCATGAGAATAACTGCCAATGCTCTATGATGCAGGCTACTGTAGAAATTGCTGGAATCTGCATTTTATCCGCTTAATGTCTCGCAAATGTTGAAAAGCATCTCCGTACAATGACTTTAGTTTACAGTTCATAGTCCGTTTGAGGTTGCCTGGGTGAACGCAAACCCAACCTTCTGCAAATGAAACGATGTAATACACTTGCGTCTGGTGTAAAGACGCGGACTATTCGGCATGAATGCAACCTTAGAGATGGTTATTGCTCAGATCTTTGGTCCTTAGCCCCTCTGCGACGAGTGGAATGTTATGTTCATTCTTTATAATGACCTTGCGGTGTCTAGTTACTTATAGATGCTGCGCTTCTGCTGGTTTGGGGGATTTTACAATGAGTGGTGTGTCCCACCAGCTTGCCATGCCCTTCATTCAACCAAATGACTCTGGATCTACATGTCAAGCCCCTCAAGGATTTCCCATATTCTGCCTCCAACCAAGAGCATGATTCAAAGCATACAATTCAGCTTGGTACTTTTATCTTCTTCTGTCCTAACCTCCTGTGTACTTATGCAATAGATATAATAGTTGTTCATGCATTAATTGTATTTTCATTCGAATCCTGCATCTTCAAGTGCTAAGTATAAAGCCACGCTAGAGTTCATTCATTTGCTCCTCAAGGGCCTTAAGAAGGCACGTCCTCCACGCAATGATAAAGACTGCCTCTTAACTTTGCACCCGTGCAAAGGTTAATGTATAAGTTCAGGCAAAGGGCTTTCACTATACATTGATAAACGTCAGATGCAGCTGTTACAGCTTTCTATGGGTTTCTCAGGTGGCGAATATACACAGACCTCTCACCTTTTAATCCTCAGCATAATCTCACCCTTACTGAATTAACTTTGTAGATCAAATATACACACTGTTTTGAAACATTCAATGTCTGACAGTTCTGTTTGGGGAGTCAAGGAACCCCGAATAATCATTGCTAAAACTAACACTGTTTTCTTTATCCTTTATCTTCCATGCTGAATTTCTCGCATCATTGCCCTCTGACACATGGGTCGGCACCCATGTTTATTCGATGGCTGCAAACCCAACGACGAGGGTTCTCCTCCAAGCTGCGTGATCTCTGCCTAAGCTGCGACCTGCCCCCAGATCGCTGTTCCCACTGTTTAAGAATCTGCGCAGCCACAACTGCAGCGCTATATCCGCCTACCTCAACCCTGAGTATCCTGGGCCGTCGGTCATCTTCTGCCCACCAGCGCTACATCATGCTTCACAGGAATGAGATCCTTTCAGCACAAACAACCATGAACTCTTGCATTACTCGATGAATGAGTAAACGTTCAAAGATGTATATCTGTAGGATTCTGTTATTGCATACCAGGTGGTTGCTGGGTTAGATTATATTTATTTTATTATAGTGTATTCCCCTCATAGCTGCATGCTTGGGGGGGTAAGCTCATTTAGCGCGTTCACACCGGAGCACTTTTCCCACAATAGTTCATCAGAACTACGATATATTTGCGTTCACACCAAAAAGCCCCAGGAACTAAAGTAGTTCAAATTAGTTAATCTGACCCGCTTTTCAGTCCCTGCTAGAGAGCAGGGACTGTCGTGGGAGAAAATAGTTCATACGTCTGATTGGCTGTGCGGAATGCAAACCACGCCCCGTTTAACTCTGAATTTTTTTTGGAGCGGCCATTGTATTTGCTGGCATTATTAGCCCAGCGCACCAACGAGAGTACTTTTGTGAAAGCAGTTATTATGGCAACAATAATAATACGAAAATCATGGGAGCGGTGGAGTGATTTACTCGGAGGATGGGATCCAGCAGCTTCTACTGAAGGCAGTTTCCAACTGCAAAATGTATCAGCGTTGTTCGGTAAAGTTAGCCGACATGGGAATCTTCCACAGCGCACACTGCGCCGGGACAGCGGCCTGTGAATTGTCCAACGACGACTACTACGAAGGTAAAATAAACTACATGCACTGCACTGTTTTAATCTGCACAATACTGGTCTCAGATGTACTTATTTGCTCAGTAGATCGAGCTAGCCATGCTAGCCAGAACTGGCTAACACTGCTAGCCAGTTCAGACTAGCATGGCTAATAACATCATTCTCGACCGCTATGAAAACGTTTTTGACTTGTGAATAGGTGTGTAATGTTTTCTGTAATTTGCTTCACTAACTCATGGCACTAATCGTGTGTTTCAGGCGAGGCAGGACAACTCTCTGGATTGGAAACAAGTGAGCTTTCCCCTCCGGATCACAACAGCAGCACTTTCTCGTCTCCTTTTCAACCATCCAAACGCAAAAGTACGTACAAACTCACTGTAACTACTCTGGTCTAGAAAGAACGTTACGCATCGAACTGATGTCCACCAATCACGTTTATTTCCTTCTTGGTACAATTATGAAACACCGTGAAAATACATCGTTTACACTTTTAGCACTCTCTCATAAACATCCGGGTAAGAAAACTTATCATTTTTGGACAAAGTTCAAGCGTACATTAAGCACTCAATAAATAAGGGCACTTTGAGCATCAGCTATTTGATGCTATCTTATCTTCTACTTTACACCTGCATTTTGTACACTGTCCCTATCTGCACCATGTCCAATGTTGTCTCTGTTGACAACCTACTAGGCGATCTTGTATCTTGCTTATTTCTCCTTAGGAAAGCGGGCACGGGATGACAGCTTCCTTGACACCATCATGGTGATGGAGGACCGCCGTGCCATGGTCAGCAAGGAGAATGAGGACCTGCGTGCCAAGGAGATGCACGACGAACGGCTGCTGCATTCACACAAGGCCCAGGAATCGGACGACCAGCTGCTCATGGTGATGCCGCGCCATGCTGACTCGGCGGCGCGCCAGGTGGAGGTGTCAGCGCGCCAGGTGGAGCAACAAAATACCTTTCAGGCTGGGCTTCTGGCAGTGCTAAGCGAGCTGATTAAATCCAACAGGCCTTCAATAAAAAAATTAAGAAAAACTTGTCGTCATTGATAAACTGCATGATTGTCCATAGTTAATCGCGATTAATCGCAAATTAATCGCACATTCTTTATCTGTTCTAAATGTTACCTTATGTACAAAGTGTGTGTGTGTGTGTGTGTGTGTGTGTGTGTGTGTGTGTGTGTGTGTGTGTGTGTGTGTGTGTAGACACTGTGATGGATCGTTGGAGCTATGTGCAGCTCAAGGCATAAATGCTCGAACGGGAGCTGCCTGGACGCTGCAATCATGTTGCGCGCACTATCCGTGCTGAGTGTGCTGACTTTTCGTACACTGTCCCACTGTCTGGCTACCTGCATAAAGTCAAGTGCTCGGCGCAGTTGTCGGCGAAAATGTCGCTCCTCTTTTTTCATTGAAACAGCTCCTTATATCCGTTAGCTAGCACCAGATGCTAACAACAACAACAACACGTAAGGTGTGCCTCGCTCGAGTCGCGCCACACATATACACACCCTCCCGGTCCTCCCGATGGCCAGTCCGGGCCTGCCGGTGAGCATGGAAGTGTGGTCTGCCACAAGCGGGCGGCAGGAGCGGGGCTGTCAGCATCAGCTTGTAGATGGTATTTTAAACTCGATGCGCTCTGAAACTACGGGGCGGCCGAGGACAAAAAATACCAACCCAGTCTCACGGCATTCCGTGTTATTAGTCACAAAATTAATTTAATCTATTGATTCGTGTTCACCAACACGATTTTCACCTTTTTTTCGTGTCACACAGAACGATTTTAAATGCAATGTATTTCTATTGGTAGTATATTTCGTGCCTGCAACACGTCTTTTTGTCCGGTTGGGTCTTGGAAGACCAGAAGCTGTGTGGTTCATAAAAACATGTTCTTACTCAATATCTTACCCTAAGCCTAACCCTATCCCTTTTATGTTAAATTGTATAATGTCTGAGTTTTTTTGCCGTCAGTGAGGAAAAGAAATGGCTCAGAGCCTCAGAATACTGAAATCTGTATTTTATTTCATCTTTTTTTCCTTCTAATTTGTTATTATTTGGTGCAGGCATGAAACATACTACCAATATAAATACATTGCTTCTAAAATCGTTCTGTGTCAGAATACTTAAATCTGTATTTTTTTAAATGTATTTTTCCTTCTAATTTGTTATTATTTACATTGCTTTTAAAATCGTTCTGTGTGACACGAAAAAAATGGCGAAATCGTGTTGGTGAACACGAATCAATTGATTAATTTCGTGACTATAACACGAAATGCCGTGAGACTGTGTTGAAAAATACACATGCGTTAATCGCGTTAAAATAATTTGTGGCGTTTGTGTTAACTCGTTATTAACGCGTTAACTTGACAGCCCTAGTTATTATATATATATATATATATGTTTTGATACTACTGACACTTTATTTGATATTGAAAATTGTAACTTCTATTTACATGCATACGACACACCTGGGACAGCGTGATGCTGTTATTGATATTGTCTTGAGTGTGCAATAAAAGAGAACCTACATGGCGATTAAACGGAGCCTGTATCTTACATTTTTCATTACATTTCATGTAACTAAGCTTGCTTATTTCTCCTCTGACACTTTATCTTTACAGTGACCTGTGTAGCATCCTATACATCACATGTAAGTGATTATTCTGATACCATCATGTTTCATCAGTTATAAACTGGCGAAGCTTTATTTATTGTGGCTTTCAAAAAGATAATTTCATTGTATTTCAAAATGGCGTCCAACACAAGCACTATTTATTTATAGAAAGAGAAATGGTTAAGTTTGTTATTACCAGTGTTGTGAGTTCAATATTTTTAATTAATTATAGTAAGGGAACATCTTAGGAGTTAGTGTAGTGAGTTTCAGAGCAGTGTAATAATTATTTGACCTAAAACTAAATGTTTTTATGAACATGACATGGGGATTTGCTAACTTTTGATTTCCCCCATTTTACATGACACAAATGGAGGCCACTATGGGCCACAACTAACACGTAGGTTTCTGTAGGTTTCATGGCAGGCGGATGCAGTTGCTCTTAGGAGGATATATAATAAAGGTGTGTTAGCTGCTGAGCCTATTTAGTGTGCATACGACACACCTGGCACAGTTTATTCATTTCACACGTAGCGTAGCGCGTGCATGTCGTCGTCCAATCCTTTTGTCAATCCTTCTTAACCGCCTTCGCTTCCGAATCAGCATTGCTATTGCATTTGACTGGTCGACGATCTGTATTTGTGTTTGCTTAAATAACTCAGACGAAGCTCATGTCTGAGGTCGGAAGGTAAACAGACGCCTCATATACAGCAGGTGGGCACGGCAGTATACGCGGGAGGTTTTTCTTCTTCTTTTTCTCTCGTTTTTATGGCGGATTGCAACTTTAAGGTGCATACCGCCACCTACTGTACTCGCCGTGAAGTTGTTTGCGGCCTGCCAGTAAACCCAAAGCAGAACAAGAAGAAGCGACGTCAGCGGTTCATTTGCCTAATCCACCCCCAGGAACTCATTTTGGTGTGAACGCGATCTGCTTTAGTTCATCAGAACTAAAAGAGTTCTCATGAACTAAAGTTCTCATGAACTATTGTGGGAAAAGTACTTGGTGTGAACGCGCCTATTGTCGCTGCCTCAATACTAGATACAGCAGTCTTGATAGGTAGTAGATTCTCCTCAAAGCCGCTGTGCTGGGGGGGGGGGGGTGGCTTTTCGGGCTGTTCCCGGGCCTTCACATAGTAGTCACTAGGTAGTATATTCCCCTCAAAGCCGCGGTGCTGGGGGGGGGATGGCTTTTCGGGCTGTTCCCGGGCCTTCACATAGCAGTCACTAGGTCAGGGTTGCCAACTCTCACGCATCTGGCGTGTGACACACGCTTTCACTCTCAATCTCACGCTCTCATGCTGCCCAAACTATTCTCACGCCAAAAACAAGAATACCGAAGACTAGAAACGGTTTTGAAAACTTTTGTCACGTAGTGATCGTCTTCTCAATAGAACATCTTTGCTAATGTCTTCTGGCCAATCAGAATCACGATAACGGCGTGGTGTTGTTGCAGGAAGTCCCGACGGAGAATACTTTTGCGGTAGTACATCTCTATACATCGATACAACATTACGTGTTGATTTCTATCAACACGTAATGTTGTATGAAATGTATGAATAAGACCCCACGGTTTGATGATTGATAGGTGTGTGGGCTGTCTTTCATTTTGACACACAGAACAATGGGGGCTATCCACCCTTATCCACAATGTAAAGTAATTCACACAGCCTCTTCCCTCTTCTCTCTGTGAGGAGCAGCAGGTTCAGCTTTCAGAACAAAGTAACAAAAAACTAAAATGGCATTCATTTTTTTAAATATGTCGTGTAGTAATAGATTTATTTATTTTTCTTCTCAAGAGAGTACCAGAATGTGTATTTTATGTTAGTATTTTAAAAAATCTCCTGGGGGAGAATCCCCCCAGACCCCCCTGCAGGGGTTGGGTTTTCAGCATGTCAACTCTTTCACCTGTGGGGAAATTGCAGGATTGGCTCCAGGTCGCCCTTTTTATTTACTACAAGACAAATGTGCCTTTTTATTTCAAAACAGTTCAATTTGGATTGAGACAGGGAAATAATCTAAACCTCACGCGTGGCGTTTCACTGTCGGGGGGAGCGTGTATGTAATTACATTGCAAATACTGACTTGAGCCCCACCACTGTATGGGTTAGCCCTACCATAGATTACCCAACAAAAATACTCTGGAGCCGCAACTGCCGACCCGTATTGCGCATGCGCAGATCTAAGATCCAGTAGAAATGATAAAAAAGTAAAAGTCTGCTGCTTATTGTTCTACTAGGCCAAAATAGAGTCAAAGAGTATATGAGAGTGAGAGTGTGTTAATTCATATATTTGGCAGTTTGGAGTAAGTCTGTAGATTTGTTTGTGTGTGTGTGTTTCATGTATAGGCCTCTCACGATAATTCATTTTGTTGGATACATTTTCCCAGAAATTATTGCGATAAACGATAATATTGTCGGCACCGTTGTATCATATGACCATTTTAGACCACTGACATAATGATAATATATAATAATAATTCAAGTACATCCTTTCAAACTGCTAGTCACATCCTCATGTAAATGGCAATTTATCGAGGTCAGAAAAGTTATCGAGTTCATTTTTATTTATCGTACGATAAGTCAATTAATTGCTTATCGCGACAGGCACACAATAAAACTGTGGAAACAAACATGTTTGACTTTCATTAGTGAATGAAATTGTGTGCCCTTTATAGTCTGTGTCCATTATTGTGTATTTGTATATATATCCTATATGCTAAGGTCCCGCTGCTGACACGATAGCAGTCATTTCGTGCGCATATGTGTAATTAAACCGAATTAAACCCATGATATCAAAATCTCACTCCAGCCAGGTACCCAAAGTTGGCAACCCTGCACTAGGTAGTATATTCCCCTCAAAGCTGCTGTGCTGGGGGGGGATGGCTTTTCAGGGGCTGTACCGGGCCTAGACATAGCAGTCACTAGGTAGTATATTCCCCTCAAAGCCGCTGTGCTGGGGGGGGGGTGGCTTTTCAGGGGCTGTACCCGGGCCTACACATAGCAGTTTCATTAGCTAGCATATATAGGTAGTATATTCCCCTCAAAGCCGCTGTGCTGGGGGGGGGATGGCTTTCGGGGCGTTCCCGGGCCTTCACATAGCAGTCACTAGGTAGTATATTCCCCTTAAAGCCGCTGTGCTTAAGGGGGATGGCTTTTCGGGGCGTTCCCGGGCCTACACATAGCAGTTTCATTAGGTAGCATATATAGGTAGTATATTCCCTTCAAAGCCGCTGTGCTGGCGGGGGGATGGCTTTCGGGGCGTTCCCGGGCCTTCACATAGCAGTCACTAGGTAGTATATTCCCCTTAAAGCTGCTGTGCTTAAGGGGGATGGCTTTTCGGGGCGTTCCCGGGCCTACACATAGCAGTCTCGCTAGGTAGTATATTCCCCTTAAAGCCGCTGTGCTTAGGGGGAATGGCCACGTGGTAGCTCGCCAGGCCCTCTACTTATCAGTCTTACATCACCAGCGTCAGGCTCGGGCTACGCAGTTTTGGGGGATAGTATCTAATCTCCACGCAGTTTTGGGGGTTAGTTATTTAATCATCACTCATCGTGCTATGTATATCTGTGGAGTGATAAATAATAAACATGTTAAAGAAACACCTGAGTTGTCTGACTGAAATGGGGCGAAGCCTGCGAGCTAGTTCAGGCAGTCAACTCGAGCACTTATGCTGCATTCATACATAACGCCCCTTGCCACTCTACAACCAACCAAACAGAGTCTCCTTAATATGCCGCTCTATTTAACCTGCCAGATCTCTCTCCATGCATTGCTTGCTGCTGCTGCTGCTGCTGCGTTAGTGCCCTGCTATTGCGTTCACATTGCTACCGCTGCTGTGTTTCATGTTGCTGCTGCTTGCCTGCCCCACCACCACCCCAGCTTCCATCCCAGCATCCACCTGTAGGCTCGGGGGTTAGTTATTTAATCATCACTCATCGTGCTATGTATATCTGTGGAGTGATGATGCCCGAGCCTAGTCGCCAAACTCAACTATATGCTGCTTCTAATAAACATGTTAAAGAAACACGTGAGTTGTCTGACTGAACATGAATAACTATCAATGACTATACTATACAAATTAGTACAGTACATTTACAACAGACTGGTACATGTGTTTACCTACCAGCTACGTTAACAAGGATATCTATTTGGGGGGGTTCTGATATGGCTCTTTCATGTTGGTTTTACAGGCATTAATTCCCTCCAAACGTGATTTATATTGTTGAGGAAACAGGTGTCACTACAGTGCACCAAAGCAGGTAGTGGCAGAGAAAGGGTGATATATTTGTAACTTCTGCTCAGGTTTAAACTTGAAAAAGTCCATTGGTCAGTTTACCCCCAGATGGCTCAATTTACCCCTCGACTCGGATCAATTTACCCCCTAGGGCAAGTTAAGCAGACAGACCTTTTTTTGAGAAGTCATATTTTCATGGCCCTTTGTGATGGATGCATTATATTCATTTTGATTGACAGAACACTTCTGGAAGTAAAGGTTGTTGTTGTCATTTTACTTCTATCTAATTTGTCCTTGCCTAGGACAACATAAGTAAACATTGGCTCATCTTACCCCACTCTCCCTTACTATTGGGTGCTGTATGTACAGTAATGTCAAATGTGATTTCCATTTGTAAGCCAAAGATACTTATTGTTGATGAACTATAAGTGTTGTTCAATGGTGAAAAAAACCAAATACATGTAGTACTGTTTACATACAAAATTAAATATGCAGGACTTGTAGCAGAGTATCTCTACAAGTATTACTACTTTTACTGAAGTAAAAGTTATGAGTACTTGAACCACCTCTTGTGCCACTTTAGGAAAGAGAAGATTTATATTCTTGTGCTTTTTGATAAACCATATGAACTGTGTGAACTCACTCTTCGTCCTGCAGCTGCTCCTCATCCTCCTGGCTGTGTGTCTGGTTGCGTATGGGCGCCAGGCACTCGGTCTTGGTGTTGTAGTTGTGAAAGCACACGTTGAGCTTCTCATCAAACTCGTTGACCAGGTCCTCCATGGACTTGAAGCTCATCATCTCGGAGAAGTTCTCCAGCTCAGAAAAGTCCTCTCTGGTGATGGAGCTCAGCGGTATGGTGGAGGTGGAGGAGTAGGAGGACTGTTGGAGCGCCGGGTGGTCCAGCTCATCCATGTGACAGGGCCGGAGGTCCTCGAACTCCTCGTCCAAACACACGAGAGGGGCCTCCATGCTTTCTACAGGAAAGGCAAAATCAGGATATAAGGGATAATAACAGTGAGGCATACCATTAAAGTACACAATGACAAGGGATGCAAAGACTTAGTGAAGATAAGAACAAATGATGAAAGATAAAATATGAAAGAGTACAATAAGCACAAAAAAAAGGCAATAAAAGCAATGATAAGACAAGATGACAAATATTTTTATAAGTGTGTAAAAGTGGTTTTAAGTAAAGATTTAAAGAGGTCACTGAGTCTGTGTGCCCTATATTCCCAGGCAGGTCGTGATGATGGAAAAGGTAGGCTAGTTTTTAGATACAAGCCTAAAAACATAATTATACTATCTGTCTGAATTCATCTGTATTCACCCTCTGTCAAAATAACACAGCAAGGGAGCCACATCTAAATAGCTGGATATTTCCCAGGCAGCACACAAACAGACTGGGCTGTGTTTTCACGTTCACAGTCTGTGGGTTAGGTACTCCATATATATTTTCTCATGAGTTTTCATGATATGTCCCCTTTAGGTTTTATCAGTGTTTCTCTGACAGGCAGGACCACTGCTGCAGCATTGTGTTTTAAAAAAGACCAAATCAGACACATACACGTCTGTACCTGTCTTCATCTGTTTCCCAGAAGGATTTATCTGGCCTCTCCTAAATCAGGCCTGCCTCACCTCATGTGGAGTGGCACCATGTTGTCGAGACAAAGAGGAGATGGAGGTAGATCTGCCAGAAGGGGACCGGGGCCCCCAGGGACCAGAACCAGTTGGCTCACTGGTAAACCTCAGTTAATGAAGAGCACCTTCTGGGATTCAACTGATGAGGTTTACCAGAATCTGGGCCATGAAACTATAGGAACTGTCATAGAATATGATACATTACAGTAAGGCTATTGTTAATGCAGGTTTTCTTTAATGGATCTGATAATTACATCATTAAATGAACATTTATCTTTCACTTAATTGTATCATAAATTGAGTCAGATAATGATAATACTCATCACAGTGACACATCAGCTCTTTAGGGACTTTAGGAAAGGTACTTTGAAAAAAGGTACAAAATATACCTGTCAAATAAGGCTGCAAAATCCACTGAAAAAGCTGAAACATTGAATCTAATTAAAAGTATTATTTCAACAGATTAGGTTAGTTGAACGCAATAATATGAAGTTTAAATAGGTTACATTTAATAATATTGCTTTCAACTAACCTAACACAGTAATGTGACATCTTTTGACAAAATACATTTAATTAAAGTCAACGTTTCAGTTTCTTCTGTGTATGAATAAACATTGGCACTTACTGACTAACTGGTGGTTATTGAAATGTTCACAGTGTGTTCAATAACTGACTGTTGGGAGGCCTTTTTCTCTCTATTTACATTAAAGGTCTTTGCTGCATGTTGTCCTATGGAATATGGAATTGTTGGTTGAAAAATATAATGAAGGAATATAGAACTGTAACACTTGACACTGCATTAGGTCAAAAATGTACTAAATACCTTTTAATATTCAAATAAGTGGAGTAGGGAAAATGTTCTCCTAGAAACATCACCATCTCTATAAAAATGTCCAGAGTATATTCTATTCCTCTGATTTTATACCAAATGTTGTTTGCCTTTCCAACTTCAACCTTTTACATAATTATCACATGGGAATTCCAAAAGAACATTCATTGTTTCCAAACGTTCCCATGCCTAAATGAAGGTCTCAGTTCAACATCCATAGAGTTCATATTGAGGTCCTTTCACTTGATATGATTAGAGATTTCCCCATAGTAAATGGATGAGATAATGTGATGAATCACTTCCACAGGCATTACTTTCTGAAACAGCAGTAATGAATGGATGTGAACCTGCAACAGAAGCAGCAGTGGTGGAGCACTTCCTGCTGCAGTCAGAAGTCTTTAGAGGAGGTGAACCTCTGTCATGTTGTCTGACTGTCTTCAGTGTAATTACTGAGTGAGGCTTATATTTCATCCTCTGTTCTCCGCTGGACCGTGGCCTGGCCTAAGTGGGTGAGTGCAGAGGAGCCCATTTAAAAGCAGCTTGTGCAGCCTCTTCTTCCTCATCACACCATCAGCAAAGTGCTGCTCCATCCTCAGCCAGAAACCTCCCTGCCTCCTCTTTTTAAAATGCATCCGCTCTTCTTTTGGCTCAACATTTGCGTCTAATTTCTCTGCTGAGAAAACGACTTCATCTAATATAAATCCTTGCAGCAGAGAAATGAATCACTCCTTCTGTGTGACAGTGACTGACATGCGTCCATCAATAGATCCAATTAAGGTTATTTGGTCTACTCAAATAAGGAACATTATCAGCTGACTCTAACCTTGCCACAGGTACTCCTGGAGGCACTGAAGCAGTGAATATCTGGCAGGGGGGAAATCACAAATTCAATTTCCTACCAGCACTTTCCAGTCATGTTGACTGCCTGCATGGTTGATTCTGGAATATTTATTTGTAGCAAAGAGAGGTAAAAAAACAGTTTCCCACCCTGGATACTGTCCAAACAACAACTGTCCAGACAACTATATTTTCAGTACTCATACTTATTCTATATTGCAGTGAAAAAACTGAAACGTTGACTTTAATTAAATGTATTTCGTCAACAAATGTCACATAACTGTATTAGGTTAGTAGTTCAAAGCAATAATATTAATTTGAACATAATATTGTGTATTTAAACTTAATATTATAGCTTTCAACTAACCTAATACAGTTATGTGGAACATGTGGAACATAATACATTCAATTAAAGTCAACGTTTCAGGTTTTACAGTCTGTGTTATTCTGTCTCATACATGAATACAGTGTTTTCTTTTTCTGTACTGCTGTTATACTGCTTTAGACTGTTCATAATGTAAATACTTTCAGTTATACATTATATATTTATATTGTATCATGAATAACTGTGCACTTTACTACTGTTTTGCACTTCTGGTTAGATACTAACTGCATTTCCTTGTCTTATACTCAACAAGGACAATAAAGTTGAATATAATCTGATCCCATGGAAGCTGACACAGTATGGATGGTGGATGTGTTTGAAATGTGCAGGTATTACATTTCTGCGTAGTGTCAGCCTTTTCTAAGTGACCTTCACAGTCAGCGGGGGTCTCAGGTGTGTCTCAGGGGTTCACCAGCATGCATGTGAGCTCATCAGAGGTCATGTAATGCAAGAGAACCAAGTCACATGTTACTGTGGGAGGAGGGGGGGGGGGGGGGACCACAACATGAGCAAACAAAAAATGGAACACCTCTTCCACTGCAGATTAATTCAAGACATCAAGCTTTCCATGTGCTGAAAGTCCTTTTTTTTTAATATGGAGGTTTATTTAATTCAGAATCTTCTTTTTTCAAATGCTATTAAAATCCATTACTGTGAGCCTACTGTGTATCAGGAATATGAAATGAAAACATCACTCACATCTCAAATGACCCATGGCCAAAACAAAATATGACTCCAGGCACTTATATAATCACATTTGTTTTGAAGATGAGTGTACAATCACTCAAAATAAATAAAACCAAAATGGATTCCACTTCAGAACAATATTCATGCCGCTGTGGTAGAAATGGAAATCAAGCAAGTGCATGTCATCAGCTCATCAGAGGACGAAAAAAGAGGAGAGTGGGGGAGGGAAAGAAGAGCAGCGAGGAGAGAAGAAGGAGAGATGGAGGAAACCATGGTTACCAGGGAAGGATGGAGGAAGGATGGTGTACAGCGGAGACCTGAGAGGGGTCAGGACTGTGCGGTGAACAGCAGGATGGGAGCATGGAGACAGATTACCTGCAGGAGAGGCTGCTGTCGGTCTGGATGCTGCAGCCTGGATCTTCAGAGCAGGAGAATCAGAGCCTAAACCTCCCGAGCAGCAGCAGCTACACTCATTCCAGGGGAAAGAGAGAAAATCAGGGAGGTAAAGATGGTCGTTGCTTCGGTCTGTATCCCTTCCCTCACCCGTTAGCCCACAGCCTCCCTTATCTGTCCTCCCACAGCCCGTTGTTTTCCAATCAATAGGCAGCCAGCAGCTCACAGAGCCTGCGCACAGCCTCTGACGATATCACCCCCCTCCTCCCTCTGCATTCTCTCTTTGTCCCTGCCGCCTCCCTCCCTGCATGCATTAATTCCCCAATATTCATGAGAACAGGAGGAGGAGCAGGTTTGGGGGAAGGAGATGTTTCTGGAGCAAGGTAGCACAATGTTTACCTTGTCCAATAAATCCTGTTTCTGCTTCCGTCTACTTGATGATTCAGACAGTGGGATGACGTATCCACAAGAGAAGGTATTATTCTGGACTGAATGTTTAGATAATGAAATCAACCTTGTATTCTCCTGGAAAGCCTGCATTTCTTTCTTAATTTTGAAACAACAAAGCAGAACATGTCAGAAAACCATACTGCTGTTCAAGCGTGTGCAAATACATTCAAATCAGAGCAAAAACATCATCATCCCACCCACTCACACAACTAAACATTTCAAACAGAAGAAAATGGGAGGAACACTAAAATAGATTTACAGGAAATACAGCTGCTGAAGTAACTTCAATCGTAAGAAGGATGTAACTTAAATGTAAATGGTTGTGATTTTGTTACAAGTTACTCTTTTTGTTGTACTTGTATAACCTGTTTAGCCCGAGAGTCCCCGGTGGAGGGGGCTGCGGGGTTCTTTTTCACGAAACTGTGTCTCAGAGCTTCTCAATATTTAAAAACCTAATAATGTGTCATACCAGATTAACGGGAAGAATCTCAGCTAACTGACGATATGAACCATTTTTACCAAAACAAAACACAAGTCTCATAAGAAGCGTCTAAATGACCCCTGAGCGAAAAAATGCTAACGCACTTGGCACAGAACTCAAGATAAAGATACCCTTATTACTTATCGTAACTGCACATACAAGATATCCGATTAAAGATGAGACTCCACAGATTATATAGGTATAGTATCATCCCTGAGCGATTCGAACTCGCGACAGGGGAAGCAAACACAGACATCACAACACGTAGCATTACGGAGCAAACACGGGAGATCGTCTCACCTTAGCTGTTATTCTGATCAAAAGTCGTGTTCAATGGCAATAAAACGAGAAAAACGCTGCTGAGGGTTAATCCATAGGTTAATCCAATGTGTCTGTCACTTTATTGATTATTGATAATTAGGGTCGCAAAAAAAGAATTTTCAAAGATGGAAACTTTCCATGGGAATTAACGGGAATTTATGGGAATAAACTGGACATTTTCAAAATTGAAGGTTGGCTCTTCGTAGGGAACTTAAATATAGTTGGGGAAAGTATATTTTAGCATAATCTTGACTAAAACAAACAGATGCCATTCAAGTACACTTGAATATCCATGCCCTAGCACACTGCTTACTGCATGGCTATTGAGACCACACCCCCTACAGGCACTGTGCATTCCTCCATCCCATGCACAGATCTTTTCATTTAACATTTTGAATGGGACTTTGTGGGGATTTTTGGATGGGGGGGTGCATTTTTGTTCATTTTTTAATGAGTGGGGTTGGGGGGGATGAGTAATATTTAATTAACGAAATAATTAAAACTTGTTCTGTTCTACTTAAAAAAAATAAAAATCTGTTGAAATGTCATGTTTTTTGTTTAATTTTGCATCAAAGATTTCCAAAATTCCCCAGCTTAACTTCCCATGGAAACTTTGCGGAAACTTTCCGGAAATTTACCGGAAACTTTCCGCCCCTTTGCAACCCTATTGATAATCCATAATTTCATTTTTATGTATAAATCGGAGAATAAATATTAGCTGCTAATGGTAGCCACCAGAGTGTATCCAGCTTCCAGTTTTGGCTACGCGTCACTCTCACTCCTTATTTGGTAACGTGTGTGTATGTGGAACCTCCCCTCGATTCCATTGGCTCTAGCGGTTAAAAAGAGATGTCAATCATCAAAATCGACCAAGGGGGACCAGAGATAGGTCAAATCCACCCAAATGACCCCAGAAGTGGGTTTTCTTTGCTAAATCTCTCTAAAAAGGTCAAATTTCACTTGTTTTGCATCAATCTTGATACAAGGTACTTATTATATGTTGTACTTTGGATTCCTAAAGCTTTTAGTCTACCATCCCATCATTCAAGGGTGGTTTTCACTATAAGTAATTTTTTGTTTTTGGACGGACACAATCATTTACATTTGTTTACTGTGTTCAATCTGAATTTACTTTAAAATAAAAACATCTATATTGATTCTGACACTTCCACATTCAACTCACAGATGTAACCTTGCTTTGAGAAAAAAGATTATTCATTTACTCCTTTTAGAAGGGAAGATATGGTCATTTGTTCTGGGCATGTCATTTTCGAGCCTGAGACCTGAAAAACAGGCTCAGGTCTTAACAGGATAATTCCAATAAATGCTTCTAATCTAATCTAATATACACGGCAATTTAGAATTGTATTAATATTAATTCGGAGAAAATAAACATTAAAGCTCCCATGTCATGCTTTTCCGGTTATTGCCCGTCCCCTTGTGTGTTATGAAGGTTTTTATGCATGTAAACGGTGTGCAGAGTCAAAACCCTCAAAGTACACCCTGTAGCGAGTAAAACTCTAACACAGAAAATACCTCCCCAAAACGCCTCGTTGGAGATACGTCACTGCCCATTTGAGTCTTCCATTTAGTTCCGGGTACCGCCTGATGTCATGCGGTACCCGGAACGAAATGGACCAATCCCGAAGAGCTATGGCCACACCAGCAGCGGCGTGTTCCTCCTCCAGAGGTTCGAAGAACCGGCATTTCACAGACGAAAGCTTCCAAAAACATTGCCCAGTTTGAGGCCGGATATGCACAGCTTGTTTGGACCGTTTGGAGCAGGGGAAGATCTGGGTATACAACCTGTAAGTTTGCATTGTTATTTGTGTATTTATCAAACAAGACTGTTTAAATGTGTAAACTGTGTTGGACTGCTAAGCCATTGACACAGTGCTAACTGTGCTAACTAAGTTGCTAGAGTTTCCATATATCAACTCTAATATCAGCAGATGGCCTTGCATACATGTATCTCATAGCAGGAGAATGTCTGCATTCACACACAAAATACCTATTGACAGTATACTGCGGGTGATTTGCCGGTCAGTCGCGAAACGTAATTACATTATAGCTGGCGTAGCGATCTAACACACGGAGCTTGAGCTAGTTTTGGTCAGAAAAACATTTTTGTGATGCTACGTTGCTAGCGTTTAAATATATCAACTACAATGTCAGCAGATGGCCTTACATGTTTGTCATGGCAGGAGAATGTCTGCAGTCACACACACGGAATACTCATACAGTATACTCCGGTTTACCGTACATTGTGACCGTACATATACTGCATGTAGCTAACGAGGCTAGCTGTATGCTAGCGCAAAACAATGTATTCATGCAAGTTACATTGTATGGTAGCAGAATACCCGTATACGATTGCAATTATAAACACGTTATTGCTAGCCTAATATGAACCACTAGCTTTTGTTCATAGTAGTTTTATTACACTGCATTATAGTTGCCTTTCCTCCAAGCTAACGTTCATATCGTGTTAGCTACCAAGGTAAACAAAGCTAGGTTAGCATATTAGCAGGCAAGCTGTTCATTATACAACTACTACTAACGAATCTAAAACAACTAAGTTTCTCTAATATTTTGTGATTTGCATTTGATTTCGTCCAGCCAGATCCTGGCGGACAATCCATGACGGGGAAGGGATTCTACTACTACTGAGGCCTCGTGCTAAAAGGCACCGCACCGCACCGGCTGTGCGCAGGCAAGAGGAGGAGGAATGGATGATATACCGTGTATATATGTATATTTATGTTCATTTTGTACATTTCTAAAAATAAAGTTTAATGGAAATACTTAGTAGGCCTATCCTTTCTTCCCTGAATTCATATATAGCAAACCATGATTTGATTTCTCATCAAACAGTAGTAGTTTATAACGGGTAAAAATAACTTACTCTTTGTTATGAGAGTAGCTCGTAGGCCACAACGGAAAGACAAGGAGACATACACGAGTTTACAAAACCACGGCACATTTATTGTGGTAAATGCAAAGATAGGTGGTTGAGAGGATCGCAGAGTTAGTCTTCCTGCAGCCGCTTTGGAGAGAGACTGGGGCCGTAGTGTCCGGAGGTGTCCGTGATCGTGCTGATTAGCTTCTTCAGCTCCACCCCATCGTAAGACAAAGGCCCTGGGGCCGTCACACTCTTCTATAACAACAGTTAAAAATATATATGTATATAAAATATACCGCTGTACCGACGCCATGATAAGACTGATGTTACGCTGAGAGCAGCCGGGAAAAGCACTGACATGGGCGCAGCCTCTCTGGTGGTTGACTAATCAGAACGAGTGGCCGAGCTGACCAATCGGAGCACACTAGGCTCACAGGGAGGGGGGGGCAAGAGCTCCAACGAGTCGTTTAGTGGAGAAAGTGAATACTGCTGAATACACATGCTTGACAGAGATGCTGTATGCGAAACCAATGTGAGTTTGGAAAATTGCACAGTATAAATCTATTTTAGTATACCTCAACAATGTAATTATGATCAGTGGAAATGGCCATGACATGGGCCCTTTAAGCAATATAATGAGTTTCAGAAGAGACGGAACACAAGCTTTACACTACAGCATTCCACATACAGTATTCAAAGTGAAATCAGACACAAAGTGTAAACTGTAGGAAATACAAAAATATGAAAGTTGAAACACAGAATATAATTGGGTTGAAATTCAGTAAAATATCAATAAGACAATACAGTATATACCAATATATAATGGAAAATGCCAAATATTGTGAACTTGATGTTGGCCCCTCCCTCCTTCACAGCATGTCCTCTAAAATCTGCATAATCCTGTTTTTAAATCTATGCTGGGGGTTTACACCTCATGTCTGAAAGCCTGTTTAAATACATGTACTCACATCAGAGCCTGTGTTATTATCACACCCAGAGTCACTCAGGAAACACTGAGAGGACATCCAGCTCTCAGATGGGAGCAGATTTGACAGATTAATCTTTGTACACTGTGCCTGATGGGCTCGA